ATAAAACAGCATTACGTGTTTTTCCGGTTATATTTAATTTGTTTGACAGGTTTGACAAGCAATATTACTGTATAACGTTATGATATTGCTTATTAAACACACCCTAGTGGAAATAGTTTACTAACTAAAAAAACATTCACTAAAAACTGTTTGCGTTTTTAAAAACACGATATGTTGTACCATTAATCTAATTTTTGAAAACATTTTGCTTTACAGGTGAACTTTAGTTACTTTTATAATAGCAGAGTTTTTTTATACGCTAAAATGCCCCCTTCGGTACCCTTCGTACAAGTATTCGGACGATGGGGCCCTAATTGTAGCCCTAGCGCAGTGGTTAGAGCGCTTGCTTTAGGTTCGAAATGATCCAGATTCGAAACGAGCTTTGGACATATTATCTTGTCACGGTAAGGAAGTAGGCGTGAATTTCCTGGTTAAATGCACTTCCGGGGTGCTCTGTGACAAGACCGTTAGGTCTTTGGGCACCTAAATAACAATAAAAAAGAAAATTCTATGTCAATATTAAATAAAACATTAATTACGGTAAACAACGTTTGCATGACGTATTTAAAATATAATAAAAATTTCTCTGCTTAGTTTACTTTGTTTTGACCGAAGGGTATAAAAGATTTTTTAAATTACAGCAGAAGTTGAAAAAAGAACCTTAATTTAGTACGACTACAGTAGTTAAAAAAAAAAGGTAAAAATGAAAGCCCAGTTTTAAATGCCAAACTATTAAAAGCCTAACAAAAATATCAAAGCCTTAGTCGGCTTAGTTTGTATTTCAAAATTATCAGGAAGTCAAAAAGTCTCAAAGTTTAAAGTTGGCATTCATACCAGAAACCAATCGCTTTGTTTGTACAAATAATACACCGAACCATACCGGACTACAGCGAACCAACACCAGACCATGCAAAAATAATAAAAACACTATTTATCATTATTTATATTGTTTCTGAAAAAATATCGAAAACTATTAAACATTATAACAGCGAAAACTCGCCTGTTTACTTATGTTATTTTTAATAAGCCTTTAGCAGTTGTAACTGGGATATGCTATTTGAAAACCTATTCTTTGATAAATTTTAGCACTGTGTTAACACAATAGCTTCATCATTCAACAGTAATAGTGCAATAATCTCATAATAAAAGTTGTAATTCAAGCTTTTTACTTAAATCAACTCTTTACCTATTACCTCTATAACAATTATATTCAAAATCCTCTTGAAACAATCAAAAATTAAGGTTTATTCAGCACATATATATATGGTAGTTTTACTGGCATTTTAGCATATGCCAATGATATTAAACCTTTGAGCTCTTGCACGCTCTGGTTGATAAAGTTTGTTGATAACTGCAATATTTACTGCAATTAAATTTATATCAAGCTAAATGCTGATAAAACCGAGTTTTTGCTTTCAGGTAAAATTAAAGTACAAAACAGTATGATAATCAATTTTGGTAATAAAAAAACCCACAACAAACTTAAATATCTAGGATTTAGATAGTATACTAAAGATTGCACCTTTGCATCACTTATTTTTTCAAATCTTTAGTAAAGAATCTAAAACATTAGAGCTGTTATGCAAAATGTTATGCTAATTTTTAGAGCTGTTGTGCAAAATGTTATGCTAATTTTTAGAGCTGTTGTGCAAAATGTTATGCTAATTTATTCTGGAGTTTGATTTTCCTACCTAAGCTCCATATTACATATAAATATTACCTATTAGTGCCTAAATAACAATAATCCATTAATGAAAAAACTGAATATAATAAAAAAATGCAAAACCTATAAAATTGTCAGACGTTAAATTCTAAAGTTTTAGTGCAAAATAAAACGAAGATAAAAACTGCATTTTCTGAAAATAAAATATCAGAAGAAATTGAGGAAATGTGCAAAGAGGTGCTGAAGTTCCAGAGAAAAAAAGAGACATCTTTAGGCGAATTCTTGAGTAAAAAATTGAAAAATAAAAAATTGAAAGTAACTTTTGTAAGTAATATTTTTTACTTGTAATTACTATTACACTGGGTGCTAAATAAATTTTAACTAATCAATTTAATTGTATACCCACAAGTAAAGCTATGCACTTTAACTGAGAATATATTTTAAAATAGTTATATTCATTCAAAACCTGTTTATCTTCATGTAACACAAACTCGTCACCCTCAGGTCCCTCTAGAAGTCCCACCCTAGAAGTCATTCAATTAAAATGATGAAAATTTAGTAAGATACTAGTAAATTGAAATAGTGCATTAAAAGGAAATAAGAAACGTTAAACAAAGCTTGGTTTGAAAAACAAGTTTTATATAGTACGAGACCTTTATAAAATATTACTTCAAACTCAAGGTTGCCGAGTAGATGCAGAGCTAACAAAAGTAGAATTAGTAGCAATTGTGATAGAATCAGCAAAAAATGCAAAAATGCAAAAAAGTGCAAAACTAATGAAGTTGAAGTAGTATCCAATAAAAACTAATGAAGTATTCAATAAAAAACTTCAAAATCAAGTTTACAGAAGAAAATGAAGGATAATAAAGAAACTTATCAGAATAGCTTACATTTTGACAAAAAAAAATTAGTATCGCTGATTATATATTTTCATTTCAAGGTCCAATTATATGGAATGTCTATCAAAAAGGCTTTAAATGTATGCATTTTCTTTCGCATATAGGAAAAGAATGACATCACAGACATTTTTGTTTTCATAAAATGTATTAAATAATTAAACTTTTCTTGTTTTTTTGAATTAATAAATAAATAAATTTTTTTTTGCGACTTTTCTATTAATTGCAAGATAAACGATAAGTATAAGATTTATTTGCTAAATTTTCTAGAATTTATGGAAATATCAGTCGATAACAGCAATTTTTACAACAATTTTTTTGATAAAATTGTAGTATATTACGATTGTAACAATAAAAGCACAGTTTAATCGTAATCGCAGCAATTTTTAGTTTTCGCAAATCTGAAAAAAGTTTTAGTTATCGATAAGTTAGTGGCTAATCGTTATCGATAAAAATTGCTTTGCAAAATTTTGCAAAGCCATTTTTTCAAAAAAATTGCGCAATTGCAACTAATTTATTTAAAAAGCAATTGAAATCAACAATATATTTATGTAAACTAGATGTCTAACTTATGAGATTTTATTGGACGGAAAAATAAAGCCGCTTTTTTTTTGTTTATAAATATAGTCCCCTATTTGTAAAACCGGCAAAAGGTAATGCTGATATATGGTATAAAAAATAAAAATATATAAGTTGAGAGCATCAACGTTTCCAATAAATTAAAGATAAAACACGTTATAACAGTTATAAAAGTTTTTTAATGAGCCTATGTTCATTAAAAAGTATTTTAACTTATAAAAATGCTTTAAAAGCGACTGACGTTTCACTCTTCCATACAAAACCTTTAACCCTTTCTAATCAGAAATGAATTTAGGAAACATAAATTAACAAAAATTATTTTTTTACAATTTTCGAATTGAAGTTAGACATCTAGTATATATAATATATCGCTGATCGAAATTTACCGCACAATCTCATTTCATTAACGCAAGTGCTTAGTACTTACTAATGATACGATTATGAATATTATTAAAAAAGTTAGTAAGTTAATCAAAAAAAAGTTTTACTGATCATATTTCAATTCATTTACAGGTAATTTTTCTTAAGAATTTTGTTATTTAAAAATCAATACATAAAGGTAAAGTACCTGATCAGAGGCGTAGCAATGGGGAGAGGGCAGGTGGGGCATTCACTCCAGGTGCCTCTCTAAGGGGGGCGCCAAAAAGGGGAAAAAATAATAAAAATAAATGAATTCACAACTCAGATCCAGAGCCAACAACTACTCAGTGACTAACAGTCAAACGACTACAAGATCCCACAATGAACTTTAAAGATGCAGCATCTAATATGGAAATGTTGGAAAATTATCTCAAAGAATTTCGTGTTCATTTGTGCCAAAATGCAATTGAGTATAGCAAGGGCAGATGTATGGAATGGGGAATTTAAGTTGAAAGGAGAGGCAGGTAACGGAAAATATTGCCAGATGAATGGGATAGAGATAATGGCCTCTCTGCTGAAGATGAAGTTAGCAGAGTTTTGAAAATGATATTGGAGTTTTGAATTTGTTATTGAAGGATAAAACGTTTTAACTTTTTTTTAACTTTTTTTAAAGTTATTTTAATTGATTGAAAGCAAAGGGCTGTTTGAGGATAAGGAGTATCATCAAGGCCAAATATAGTATATGCTACAAGGATCTGTGCTTTGTCCAGTTTTATTTTTATTATAAGGATTAAGAGATACTTTAATACAAGTTGACTAGGATCTTCCTAGTCAACTTGTAAATTAAATAATGTTATATGAAAATGATAGAAAAGTAATAGCTGAAGTTAACAGTTAAACTGATGCCATAGTTTTTCTCTGAAAGTCTTGAACACAAAAAATCAAAGTATATCTTGTAGGCTTTACGCATTTTTAATTAATTATCATTTAATTCACCAATAACACAAATTGAAATGTTTATTTATTTGTGATTTTAAATTTTTATGAGTACTCAGAATACTTTAAATGAATCCTCAGTATTTAACATAAATATAAAAACACACATATATAAAATTATTGCTGTTTTGGTCATAGAAGCAAGTTTTTGTGGAATAACTGCTACTCTCAACTTGTTTTTAGCAAAGCGGTTTTTACAACGGAAAGATATTCTTTGTGTTTTAATTTTAGATAAAATGCGCTAACATAACTATGATAGTTTTATTTGTAAGAGATACGTTGATTTGAATTAAAATGGTCATCTATTCTTGTTTTCACGATTTTAAATTTGAAAAAATTCATCCCCTATGTCAAAAGTATTTAAACTTGATATTTGAATGGATGTTATTGAATTAAGAAAACTTTATAAGTTATAAATCTGTGAAATATAATTCGTTCTTTAGCAGCATATAATTCGTTCTTTAGCAGCAAGTTTTTTATATTCAAAAAAATACATGAGTAGCATCTTTTACAAAACAACTTCAGCTTCAATCAAAAATTATTTTCTACATGATTGACTATCAACTTTATATTTATACGATTATAAATTTTTAGAATAAAAAACAACATAGACAATGGTAAAAGGTCAGGACGAGGAGAATGTGTGTTAATTTAATAAAAATAAATTTTGTACTACATTTAGATAAAACGTTTCCAAAGTGACCCTCTGAAATGTTTCCAAAGTGACCCTCTGAAACGTTTCCAAAGTGACCCTCTGAAACGTCAATTTTCAAAAAATATTTGCTGTTGTTTAATGCTTCATTTTAAAAAAAAAATCATCGCTTTTAAGAAATAATTTTATGTTTTTATAATAAAAATTGTTTTTAATATTCTAAATAACAACTTAGCAAGTATTTTTTACACCACGGACCACAGACCTCCAGTTCTGATGCGAGAACTCAACACACATCACCACAACTGGTCTTTTCCTCAAGAAAAAACAAGCAAACTGGTCTTCTAATCTTTTAGTCGTAAAAAAATTTCTAAACCCAGTAAGTACAGTCATGATATTTTTAAAAATTTATCTAAAGACTTTAAAAAAAATAAAAATAAAGTTTTACCAGAATAAAAAAAAAAATATAATCTCCGTAATAACTACAATCATTATTTAATTTAAACAACTCAGTACAACTGCGTTGTTTCAATTAAAGCAATACTCCTCTTTTGTTCTTAAAAACAAACACAATATACACAATATAATTATAAAAAAACATAAAAATTGAACATAAAAACATAAAAATGTTTGAACGCATAAATGATTTCTTCCTTGTTTTTTGTTTTTTTCGGTTGATGAATGCTTTTAAATGTAATCAGAGAAAATAGAACTTTGAAGAATTTCACATGAACAAGAATGTCCAAGGATTATAGTTACCTCCTTTGAATTAAAGTTTATTGTTCTTGGTACCAAATTTGTTGCGCACCCTCCTTCACCTGTAAAACATGTTTCAGAATAGTCTTCATCTTGACAGGTAACATGAAAGTGCTGTCGCGGAGTATAACTAAAAAAATTACAACTTTAAACTCGAACTTTTGAATAAAGTTTAAAATCAAAGGTTTTTATAAAAAGTTTAAAATATTACAATACATTACAAATAAAAATATCATCCGCAATAGTATATTATATAAATCTCCCTCATTTATTAATTATTACTCCTGAAAAATTCTTTTCAAACTTAAAGTCATTATTCATATGCTAATATTGTATGGGCTAGAACACGCAAGATAAAATTTATCGAACTATAAAGCTTGCAAAACCTTATATGCAGAGCAGGGTTGCCAGGTTTTTTTTTGGGAACAAGCCAAAAATGAAACAAAAATAAACCAGAAATAAACCAGACCAAAAAAAAAAAGAAATATTCATAAATTTTTGTTTTAAAGCCTTGTTTATAATTTATATTTTGAAAAAAATGCTTTTTTATCCAAAAATTCAACCTTGAATTATAAAATTTAATTTGTAAGAGAGTGAGAAAGGTGAAGAAGAACAACTTAGTAAACTTTTAATGGGGCGCCAGTCCAACCTCCAAAGTGGCATGGGGAAAGTAGTTCACTCCCAAACACCTATACAAAATCCGACACTATCAACCTGTAAAATATACTCATTTTTTTTGCTTGCATATGGATATAGATTTCTTTTCCAACCTTTGCGATAATTGACTCAATTATTCCAAAGTCCTGGTAAAAAATCTTTTGCCTTATTAAATATGATTTGATACAAATAACTACATGTAAGGCTTGATTTGATATTTTCTTAGTCTGATTTTTATGCAGATGAACTGTGAGAAGACTCAACAAAACAGTTAGAAACAGAACACATAAACAGCCATGGCAGTAAGCATCTATATTGCAGAGATCTAAAACCTCTAAATGGTCTCACAAAGCAGTTTAAAATTCAGCGGTGTCTTTAGAAACTCATTTTTCTCAAAAGTTTTTAGACTCGCACTAATTATGCAATGTCAATTAATTTATGATTAATGACGATTTCTGTAATGATTTTCACTTTCTTCACTTTTTGCATCCATAAGATAAAACTGTAGATTTGAAATAACCTTTTTAACTTGGGAAACAACATTCATTACAGGCAGATTTTTCTCAAAAAATGTCATTTTGAATGTAAGAATTTTTTAATATTTTTGGCAATTTAGGGTTAAAAACAACACTTTAACTACAATAAAAATAAAAGTTTTTTAACGTTTTAAGATTTTAATGTAAGCATTTCTTCCATTTATTTTAAACTTGATTGTTCTTCTATAAAATAAAAAAATAGAAAACTTTCTTTCCCTCATTTTAACTTTTTTCATGAAACAAAAACTTAATTAAATTGATTTATTATTAAATAAACCAATTTTTTAAGTTAATTTTTTAAGAGTTAAACCATATTTTAAAAATCATACCAGAGAAAACAAAAAAGACTAAAGGCTTTAAAATAAACCAGATTTAAACCAGATTTTCTAAAATAAACCAAAACAAAAGTTCCAAGCCAAACGATAAAAAAACAAACCAGATTTGAGAAATTTGGCTTTAAAAAACACCAGATGGCAACCCTGATGCAGAGTAATGCATTGTTAAAGAACAAAGCTTAAAGTTATACGTACTAAATGCGTAATTAAGCAAAATACTAAGTAAGTAAGACCTTATTTAGTATTTTGCTTAATTACGCATCTTACGTACCTCAGCGTACCTCATCGTTAAATACCCTTCTTACGTACCTACATCTTACGTAAAGTACGTTTATATAGATATAGAAGAAGTACTAAAGTATCTCTTAATCCATAAATATACGTTTTAATACGTATTTAAACTTACAAACTATATGCAAAAATTAAAATACGTATTTTTACGTATTTTAAATTATTTATACAAAATTTATTCGTAGTTAAAATTGGTAGCAAAACGTTTTGACTGTCTTTTCTTACAAAATAAGAAAAAAAGATTCGAGGCTTGTGCAGGAAAAATACTATATCAGTGAGATTTAATATCTTTTTGAAAGCAATATAAGGGTATTAATATGCATAATAAATAGTAGACAATAAAGAGTATTCAATACCTTTTTGGAGCAATAAAAAAACAAACAATGTCATTGGAAGTTAATAAAAAACTCAACTAAATTTACGAAAAATTATAACTTAAATTTTCATCATTGTAATGATAACAGTATCTAATATAATATAAAAGTTATATAATATATAGGGTAAAGCAGGGTAATAATATTAGGGTAACAAGATCAGGGTTAATATTAGGGTAACAAGATCAGCGGGGGAAAAAAATCTTATAAACAAAATTAACTTGTAGCAAAAGATATTTATCACGTTAAATTCGTTTATACATGTTCTTTTTTATGAACATAATGCTTATGATATAGGTGTTATGTGTTTTTATGTTTGTTTTTAATGTTCAAAGTATCTTTGAAGCTATATCGCAGCATGCATTTGTATTAACATATTCAAAATTTTATTGTTTATAAGTAATTGTTAAATAAATTTTATGGTGAAACTCTTATATTTATCTTCTATTTGTTACTTTATTTAAAGCAAAAGTTTTTTTTGAAAATTTGTTTATTATTTGAAATTTTAATTTGTTACAGATATCGCATGCATTAGCTGTTTTTAATAGTAATAATCAAGTGGCAACAATGTCTAATAAATGATTTAAACAAATGTTTTATGGCCTGATTGTTAAGTAGGAAAGAAATTGCAAACTTAGTTAATAAACCATAAGAGCTGCGTGGTAACTAGATTTCCATTGATGTATGATTTTTTTCCAGTAACATCAGTAGATTTCCTATTATTTTATTTTTTATTTTTTATTATTTTTTTTTATATTTATATATTTATCATTATTATTATTTTTTTTATATATTTATATATATATATATATATATATATATATATATATATATATATATATATATATATATATATATATATATATATATATATATATATATATATATATGTATACACACACACACACACACACACACATACATATATATATTTATATATAAATAATACTAAAAAATACTTACGTATCAAATACGTATAATATTGCCAACGAAGATATGTATATACAAAAAAAAATCAGCAAAAAATACGTATTAATGTATTTTCTGCTGACTTTTTATTGTATTTAATACGTTCTAAAGATAGGTATTAAATGCATCCTACCAGCGACCAAAAGTACCGTAAATAATACGAATTAAAAAAATAAGAATAAATACGTAATATATACGTTTTATTTTGTTTGGAACCTGTGTAATAAAAATTAAGTGCGTTTAAAATTTGGAAAGACTAAACCTGTGTAAGACATTTTCATTAAGAGATTAAATATAAAAATAACATGCTACCAAATCTTTACAAAACATTTTTGTCATCCTTTTCTCAAAGCTTTAACTAGCGTTCAAACAGTTTCAATATCTATCATCCTGATAAAACTAAAACTTTTCTATTATGTCACAAGTTCATAGGAAATTAAAAAACTTAAAAAATCTAAGTTCAGATGACTTATTCGTTTAAACTTGCCATTTAAACGATCATGTCTTTCAATGGCATATTTAAAGACTTTGTAATCTTTAAAATCAAAGACAGTAGTGGTTTAAACTTGCCATTTGAATGACTACTGCCGTTTAAATATGACTTTCAAACATTTAAATACCAAACGTTCTTTGTTAAAATAAGAAGAGAAAAAACTTAAAAAGAAAGCATAAAAAATTTGAATTTAAGCTTAAAGTCATATTCCGTTAATTGGGGAATCGTGACCAATTAGCAACAATAGAACTATACGACTAACTGGGGAACTATAATAATTAGTGCAATTTAACTGTTACGCAAAAAACTATTTTACAAATTCCTGATTAAAAAAGTAATTTATTTATTTACTTATATATATATATAAGCCAGATTATTTACTTATATATATATATATAAGCCAGATTTGAAATAAGCAATATTTTTTATGTATACCGGTATTTTCCTCTATTGTAAACTTTATATTACACTTTACATATCGTCAGCCGAGAAGCAAGAGGCCTTATGTTAATTTTTTTGTGTTTCCGAGAAAATCAAGTTTTAAAATTTAATTTGTAAAAACTTTCTGCCAGAATGTGAAATAATTTTTTAAATATTTTCAAAAGTTTTATTATTTTTGATACTAAATTTATTGGACACAAACCCCATTAATTGTAAATTAAAAGGTTTTCTTTAAGTAAACCTGAAGAAATAAGTAAGAAATAAGTTTCAAAAAAAAATTTAAAATAATGTTAAAAGCAGACAAATGATATTTGAAAATATTAAACGAGCTTGATATGCATTATGTTGTTTCTTACCTGCGGAAACTTTTTTTATAACCGTTGTAATATTTTTTAATAATAAGAAAATTTTTCTTTACATTTTTTTTTTTTTTTTGTATTTTATATGACACAAATCAGTTTACACAAATAGTAATATAACACAAACAATTTATAATAATTTTAATAGCTGTTAACCAATTTGATTAATTATTATTTTTTCAAATACCAATATATATACAAGCTTATTATTACATTGCAATATATTTTTACGGCTTATACTTTTTAGTTCATGGACTTTTGTTTTATCTGCTTTTTGCAATAATAACTTCAGTTTTTGCTTAATAAATATTTGTATTTTGCACGTGACTATTTAAACGTATCATAAAAATACTTAATTACTCGTAACGAAATGAATGAGCGAACACTTCGACTAAATTTAAAAGGAGGGAGTGTACATACATCATGGAAAGAGTTAAGGCTAATCTTTACATAATGATTGTTTTCCCTAATCCAAACACTATGTTGATGAATTTGAACTCCTCCTATGTTCTTCGTATTTATGTGAACCAATGTGTATACACTCTCTGTATGTTTTCCCAAAGAAATAAATAATATTTAAATATTATAAATAAACATCTATTAAATGAATACCTTGCTGGAAGCGTGACTAGATGAATGCATTCTCTGCATAGACTGTAGTGAGTACCAGCTCCATTCAAAGATTTTTTTGGTTTACAACATTTTGTTAAATCAGAGCAGTATGTAATTTGTGATCCATCAGGAAGATTTTGCGGGGTTTTCCACGATTTTACCGCTCTTTTTTTTCTTGATAATTTTGGCAGGGTAAGCGTCAACGCTGGTGAAACAAATTTTTGTGTTACTAACATAACAGAGGAGATAATTGAATACTAACAGAGGAGATAATTGGAGGTATATACATAACAGAGGAGATAATTGAATACTAACAGAGGAGATAATTGGAGGTATATACATAACAGAGGAGATAATTAAACTTTTAAAGTCTTAAAATTTTAACTCCCAAAATAAATTTAAAATTTTTTTAAATTTTTTAATTTTTTATCTCTGTTTAACATAAAATCAAATTAACTTATTTATTTTCACAATGTTTCGTTTGAATGTATAAAGAATATTTTAAATAATATATTTCAAAAAGAAACCGTCATCACAACACGTCATCACAACACGTCACCTTAATATTTTTATAGAGCTCTCGTTATAGAATAATATATCGAATGATATAAAAATTATATTAGTAGATAAATAAAAAATTAATAATAATACCTAAAAGTTTACCGTTAAAACCCAGTCAAATAAAACTAAAGAGATATAAAAGAAAAAAGAAAAATTTTCTAAATATTTCATTAATTATCAGGGTTTTTTTGTAACATTGGTTTGTTTTTTTGTTAGAAACTAAGTTTTTACAAAAATATTGTAAACTTGTTAGGCATTAATTCTTGAAACAACAAACTGCGTGTTAATAGATCACAAACAACTATTTTTCTTACTATTTACATACCGAGTTTTTGTCACTTTTATTTACAGACTAAAATACTTTTTGATGCACAAAACTATTTTATATAAGCTACATACAGTCTTTACACTTTGTTAAATAGATTTATTTCAAAATAAAAAATTACCTAAACAAACTAATGGATTTTTTTCTAGACGAGCTTTTAGAGTAAGGGCAGATGCAAAATCTTCCAAACTATTTTTACGGCTACAGATAGTCTCCGGGTAAGTTTTCTCAACAAATTGCGGGTTTGATAACAAGTCTAGACACAAAGGAGATAAAACAACTAAAGATATTAAGTGAAGGGCCACCATTTGTTTGAATATTCTTTCCATTTTTTCCTTTTTTTTTTCTATTTTAAAAATTTATTTAGTTAAAGCAAATTATTTGTATTGTATATATATATATATATATATATATATATATATATATATATATATATATATATATATATATATATATATATATATATATATATATATATATATATACATATACACACACACATTCATTTATAACGTAACAAATACAATCTTTTAGAAAATATATACTATATATAATCTTTATAATAAATTTATTTGTATTTATAATGTATTTTACATATGAGTAAAATGTTTTTACAAAAGTTAAAACGTTAAAATTTTCTCGACTAAAAATTTCTTTTTGACCTTTAGAACAATTAAAGTAAAAAACGTTTATACTATATTGTTTTTATTTTTAAGGGTTTTTATATAATAAAGCGGCTAGCAACAATATGATATTGGTTACGTTGTTTTTTGAAAGTTGATATATCTAGTTAAATATCGTATGATTAGTATCTTAAGTAAAAATTTGATCACCTTAATTTTTTTATATATAAAACATACTTTTATGTATATTTGGTGAAACAGAGACTTCCTTATACCCGTGGGTGTTTTTTGATTCGTTTAACCCCCTCATTTATCCAACATATAGCTTATTGTATTCAATACATTGCACGACTTAAATATTTACACTTAATCAACAGAAAATAAAATTCTGGATTTGCTATTAAGTCTTCGGATACTAAACATTAAATGAATTTACGAGATTTACGAATACCATAATCAATACGAGCTTTTCTAGTATAAACGCCACCACATGTAATTTGTTTACGACGTATATTCAACAAAATCTCTTCTGATCATATACATTATTATTAATTGATTATATAACGCATTAAAGTTGTTCACAAAAAGAGATTTTAAAATTCCTCACAAAACCCCAATTTTTATTTATTTTCTTATTAAGAAATGTCTCTTTTGTTTTATTTTGTTTCACAAAATGTTCACAAACACTTATGAGCGCGTAGATATAGTTTTAAGTTATATAAGTATTAAATGACTTTGTAACAAATAAAGCACCTGTATTTTTATCAAGCTCTTTAAATATAATCTAAAAGTTACTGCTTTCCTTATAATTTTTATCACTTGATAATAAGTTATGAATATAAAATGATTCTTCTTGCAATACGTTATGAACGGGAAATGTTTTTTTTTTTTAAATAATTCTTTAACTAGTTAAAAAACTGCGCACTGCCTAGAGAACAAAAAACAGCCAAAACTAGTTATCTATAAACGATATAAGTTTTCAATGTTTTTTTATAGTCAGAGAATTTATAAGAAATATATTTATAAGAACAGCAATACCTGTTCTAAAGAACACATGTTCTAAAGGACACATGTTCTAAAGAACAGAGCAGCCGTGGCGCAGTGGTTAGAGTTCTGGCTCAGAACCCAGAGGTCGGAGGTTTGAAGCCAGCTCTATTCCAACAAGCAACATTGGTACAGAAGGAGACGTGAACTTCTTGTTAAATGCTCTCCCGCGGTGCTCTGTGATAAGACCGTAAGGACTTCTGGGAGCACCTAAATAACTCCAAAAATAAAAAAAAATAAAAAAAAGGACGCGTGTTCTAAAGGACACTAAAAAAAAATATTTATATATTCCGAATCTTCAAAAAAAATTCGATCTAAATTGTCTTGCTTTTATAATTCGCCTTTTTTTAAAGAAAAGTTGATCAAAATACGACTAACATGGAGGAACAATTATAATTAAAAATTTTTTATTTGATTACATTTTTTATAACTTATATTTAGTATCCTAAATTTTACTTATATGCGTTTTATATTTTGACATCCGCCTCAAAAAATCTAGCTTTTTCGTGTTTTTTCAAATATGCAAAAGACATGATGGAAAATGTTATCAAAACGATGCACAGATAATTTAAAGTTTTTTGTTTAAAGATGAAAACATCACTTGCAGGCGTGGATACAGTATTTTTTGATGTTTGAGAAACCTAACTTCCCGACATGGAGCAAACTCAAAAAAATCATATGTTTATACATATATCAAATAAAGAAGTTTTACAAAAAACTGTGATGTTTGGAACCTAAGAAAAAAAAAGCCTTAAAATTTTAGTTACACCTGCCCCAAACGTGAGAGCAACAAGTAGATAAAATATTTTTTTTACTAATCTTACCAAGTTTATACTCATCGATAAATTTTAAAACTCACGCGATAATCTCTTAGCGTTAAACAATTATGGCCTGATGAAATTTGCACCCCCTCAAATTGAGGGGGTTGCAAATTTCATAAAGCCATAGTTGTTTGCTCCATGTATGGAAGTTAGGTATCTCAAACATAAAAAAATGCTGCATCCGCGTCTTGGAATTATCAAATCGACTACATAAGCACTAAATTTTCATAAAACATAGGAGTTTTACATAAAGCACGAATAATAACCTTTACCTTCTACCTCTATAAGAAAAATATAATAACTACTACCTCTATAAGAAAATTTTAATGGTACTTTATCATTCGCTTATACACAGTTATCTAAAATATGCTAATATTGCCTGCGGTAATACAGAAAAAATTAATTTGCAACGTTTTTGTCGTCGTCAGAAACATGCTATCTGTTTAAACTGCTTTGCAAATCGCTTTTCTCACGCAAAACATTATTTTATTGAAATGAGAATTTTAAATATATACAAGCTAAATTATATATACAATTTTAAATTATATCATATAATGTTTTATGCTTTGTATACATGTGGAAAAATGACTTGCTCCTGTCTGTCTTCAAAGATATTTTTACTCCAAAATCTGCCAACAAAACCAATTTAAGAAATACTGATTTTTTAAATGAACCTTTTTTGTAAAACAAACTTTAATCAATTTTGTATTGCCTATCGGGCATTACCAATTGGGAATAAAATTGTTTTGCCAAAATTTTGATTTTAAACTATCTATTACTTAACGCTTTTTTAAAAGTTAATTAAAAGTCCCAATTTTTTCATTAGATGACATCTTATGTGATTATTAATAATATGAGTTAATAACTTTGCCTTTATTTATTTACATTTATAAAAAGTTTATTCTTGTTTTTTTTTTTAATCTTTTTACTTTTTACTTAACATTTTATTATAATTTGGTACGTATAAGTTAATATAAAATATTGGTGAGTAAATCTGCGTGATCTCTCTTTTGATTATATAATATACACTTTGGAAATTTGTAGAAGTTTAATACCTTTGTTAAACGCTTGTTTGAACTTATTTAAGATTCTGACCAAAAGATCCTTTGATCTTCTTTCAGATTTTTATATTTGTTAGATCGTTTGTAAAAAAATTGTGAAAGTTTATTATTTTTATTTTTGGCAATATCTAATTGCAATACGACCAACAAATGTAAAAAAAAAAAAAAAAGTTAAAATTAGACAAGAATGATATTATTAAAAAAAAGTATGATTTTCAAAGAAAACAAACCTGTTAAAGATAGGCAGTTTTCACACCAAGAACTCAATCTACTAATATAAATGCTAAGAAATAAAAATAAGTTACCAACATAGATCATTTATAGATCCTCCGTTTGATTTTATGATGTTGCGTCAAACTATGTATGTATTTGTAACTCCCTCAAATTGAGGGGTGTTCAAAGTTTATATGATCCTAATATTTGAAATATGTGCAATTTTATTCAAGACTAAAATATTCGTTAATTTATTTAGTTGCTGTGAATAATTTTTTCATTTTTTTTACAATTATATTTTTTAATTTTTTTAATTTACACCACAAGAGTCAAGTTTAACATACTTTAATAATTATATTTGTTTTCTTTTCAAATGTTTGCTAAAATATAATTTTAGTAATGGAGGTGAATTTTTCACAATTGACAATTTTACTTCTTAGTTGCAAAAGCATTGGTTTAAAATCGTTATTGTAAAAAAAATTGCATGGCCCTGATTGGGTTGCTCCCAATAAGGGCCGTGCCTACTAATAGGCAAGCCAAGAAGCTGTCTGGAGCCCCCAACATCCAAGGGGCCCAAAGGGGCTTCAACTTTTTTCGAAATTAAAAAAAAAAAAACATTAAAATTTCAAACTAAATTTACGAAATACTCGCCCAATTTTACAGTAAACGTCTTTGAAGCGGAGATTATTACAACATTACTCAATGTAGTACTATGCTCGTGCTCTTCTTTGTGCATCAATAATGCTCAATCTTTATTGGCGTTTATTGCCCTCAGTATGTCCGTGATACAGTCAATGATACAGAGCATGTTGAAAATTGTGTAATGTAATAACTTGTGCTAAAAACTGTAGACTTTCAGAACGAGTCGAAATGAATGCAAACAAAAGAAAAAGCAAGGGGATGAGAAAAAGATTGAACTTTTGCCAAAAATTAGTTCATTTTTCATCCTACCACAACACAAAAATTAAGTTTTTCCCATTCAAAAATCTCTAACATGGGCAGTTGATGATGCAGCAGCAATTAATGAAAATGGTGAGGACAATAGTTTTGTGCAGAACCCTTCGGCAGAACCTGCATCAATTAAAACATCAAGAGAACTGACACCAACAAAAATTTCTGATGTTGAGATTCACGAGATTTTTTCAGATCCTGCAGACTGTCTAAATGATATGTTTCATCTCCAAAAACAATTAGCTCTATCAGGACCAATACAGGTAAAATATTATGGTTTCTTAAAGAGTTGCTTTTCCAATTCCAAAGCAAAACAAAGATTTTTGCTTTAAACTACAATAGATTCCTGACAAATGATTAAACCATAACAAAATCATGGCTTGTATACTCAAAAAAAGCAGACGCCTTATACTTTTTCTGCTGCAAGTTGTTTAGTGTCGATAAACAAAAACTTAGTACCAGTGGCTTTCATGATTGGAAAAAAATTATTCCATGTAAGTAAGTGTGACCGTTCACAAGAGCGCAATAATTCCTGGATAAAATGGAGTACAGTACAATTGATCAACAGAATCAGAATATCTTTCAGCAAGAACATCAATACTGGTAATCACTAATTGAGAGAATTGTAGGAATTATTTAAT